ATCTGTGAGATATAATTCAACTATTGAAGGATTTAATTTTAAGAAGACAGTCAGTAACTTTCACCTTGGAACAATAGCTTCATTTCTCTTTCCCATAATGCAGTAACTGCTCCTCAGCTGCTACCAATGACAACCAGCACGTGTCAGTGCAGGGATCATCCTCAGAGGTATAACAAGATGAACTTGTCAGTTTTCCAAAGAGATCATTTCAACATCAGAAATGGTTTGTTTGAGTTGTTAGGCCACTTAGAATTAAGAACAGCTTCTTTCTTGGCCTTCCCTCCTGACATTGTGAGGATTTACAACAGCGGTATTCCAAACACAATAGCAGGCTTGCAACAAATATCCCTTCCTTTCTCTCTGTCTCTCTTCTGCGGCCCTTTAATCATTATATGTTTGTATCCGCTTAAATACAATATGCTAATTTTAAAGGTTTCTAAGCAGAAAACACTTTTTTCTTGGATATATACATTTATACACATATATATAATATATATGCCAGCTTTTGAATGGTGAGTATTCATTTTGTGCTGTGACATATTAGCTCTTAGCATAAATGTTGACTCTGACCATGTTGAATGTGAGAGATTTCTCACTGCAAGTGCTACGACTGCTATTGGTTATCAGCAGAGCCAAGTTCCTATTCCCTTCTTCCTTCTTGAAACTGTAAAATACATCACGGTAGTTATAAGAGAAAGTGGACTGATTTCACTTGTCTAGTTAGTGAAACTAAAATAAATAGAAATATTAAAACAGGACCTCTTATGTAATGGGCTGTGCCAGGCTCTTCAATAGATGAAAATGAGTCAGTCACTATTTCGGTCCTTTATTATACTCTCTCCTAAGGCATTAGAAAGCTTAGTAAATATTAGCACTGAAAGTCTCCACTATGATTACACAAATGATTGAGCCGCTATCATTTTATTAACCCACGGTTCTTATTGTGAGTGGGTTCTGCTGAATCCTTGGAGTAAGTAGTCAGGCTAGTGAGGTGTTCCTAAAGCTGATGAGAACTCTGAAATAGAAACTGTGTGGTTTATTTAATAACACAGGTTGGGTATTTTTTATTAGTGTGCAAGGATAAGCCTGATTAAATGCCCTGCATCCTGGCCTTTCTCATAAGCGTTTGTGAAAGTATTGAATACACGGTTTGTGGATTAACTACAGAACATATTCTACAGTGCCTGCCTTATTAATCCTTCAAAACCACATTTTCCATAATATCCCATTAGTAAAATAATAGTGCAGTAAATGGAATATTATTTTTTTAAAGGAACTTGCAGGACTAGAACTCATGTTAAAATGAGAGAAATCTTTATCTAAGATATACAAATCAATTCAGTAGTGATTTGGGTCAAGTTTTTTACACCATTAGAAGAGGTGGGCTTACCAGTAGTTATGATTTATTCATGTATAGGCACAGAATCTTCTCTAGTCAAAATCAGCTAAAGAAGGCTGAAATAAATGGAGAACACACAGTGACAGAGTCATATATTGAAAACACATGGATCTGATGCTGGCTAAGTGTAAACGGAGGGCACTTGCAGAGATTGCCTTTATTCAGCCACATCCTGTTTGGAAACAGGCAATATTTTGTGAGTTAGTTCCGAAGCATGTTGATTATTAAAGATCAGTGTAGCTTATGTATTTTTATTTTGTAATGTCCATCATGTGCTAAATACACAAACTATCCTAAAGGTTAGGTTAACATTCATTTTCTTTTAATTTTTTAAAGCTGCATAAATAGATTTTTTTCTGTTAGAATGCATGTTGGGCACTTGCCGAGAGTTTACCAGAGAAAATAAAATTATAAATTTTTTTGATAGTAACATGGAAAAGTGACGGTTAGCTAGCTTACCATATTTATAATGACCTGGATATCCAGAGGCATGGTATAACAAAGTCAGCCCTTGGACAGCTCTCCACGGTATCTTCTTAGTGCACCTTTAATCATGGAAAAGAGGACTGTGAATGAGTGATGCAATTCTGATGCTGGACCTAACAAAAGTTACTGCATCTGTTTGATTCATGAAACTGGGTTTGTGCATACCCTCATTAGCACCATATGCGTTTAATCTCTTGGTATGCTGCAAAGCAAAATGTGGTTGCAATTATTATGCAATAATTTTTCTAATTTATATTCGTTCCAAACATTTACAATTTATTAGCTGTGGTTTGCATCTTATCCACCCTCCACTGCTAGAGCAGCTCCTGACCACCTCTCTGAAGATCGGCAGTGTGCTTTCCCATTATACCTCTGTTGCAAACCAGACGCAGAATGGATGACATTTCAACTGCTAAACCTCCCATCCACACTCAACTAAAACAGCAAGCACTCTTTGCACATAGCTTCAATTCTAAATTATAACTTCTTCTTTGAAAGTAAGATAAGAGCCAGAAGAGATCATTTGAGAAGCACATCTAGAGTGATGACAATCCTTTATAGTGTCCTTAATGCTGGGAATAAAATTCGAATTATTTTTCACCTACCAAACCTTAGGTAGTTTGGCCCCATCCATCCGCCACCTTTATTTGGCCTGTCTCTCCCAGATTACTGCAGTCACATTGACCCCAATCAGCTCCAGGAATAGGCCAAATCCTTTCTGGTCAAATGGCTTTTGCATAGGCAAGTTCACCTGTCTGGAATGCCTTTCTCTGTTCGTTTTACACAGAGTATCTTCTTTGCATTAGGGTTTGCTTTAAATGTCAACTCTTTAGCAAGACTGCATGTCTACTCTAGCAAAAAAACAGGTCTTCCCTTATATTCGCTTTCTTAACTCCTTGCTTGGTCTCCTCTTGGCCTTTATTGCAGCCAGCAATCACCAGTTCTCTTGTGTATTTGGTTTTATTTGTCTTTCCCCCTTAGAAAATCACCTGTCTGATGAGAGGGAATGAATGCATGCGTCTCAGTCACCAATGTTTCTCCAATTTCTAGCACAGTGTCTATAGGCTATTTTCAACATTCAATAAACATTTATAGAATGTATACATAAATAAATGAAATATTTAATGTTCAAAAAGGCAGGCTACAGTAGTACAATCTGGAGCTAAATGGTAATAAATAGACGAATTTTAATCTCAACTTTAGCATTAACCAGCTATGAGACTTAAAAAATACTCTTTCTCATGATGAGAAACTCTAAGATCTACTCTCTCAGTAACTTTTAAATATACAATAGAGTATTATTAACTATAGTCACCATGCTGTACGTTACATCCCCAGGACTTATTCACTTTATAACTGGAAGTTTGTACCTTTCGACCTCATTCACCCATTTTGTCCCCCACTCCATCATGAGATACTTTCATAGGCCTAGAGTAACAACATTTTGGGGAACATAGATCATTTTAAAGTGTTAGATTTTTACATAGAAAAGCTCTTGATTAAAAAAAAATTCCTGAAGAAATGATTTTTTTCCTACTGTCAAAAACCAAAATTATCGATGAGTCATAGTTCTCACAGCTTATTTCATGAACTTTTAACAGTCCTATGACATCTGTTAGCCTCACGTCCCCTTATCATTGGCCCCATGGCGGCATATGCTCAGCTTCTGGGTGGGATGAACATGGCTGGTGCCAAACGAGGTCATATTTGTCACTTCCGGTGACGCAACTCCTCCGTCTCTGCCTTCGTTTCCACACCTAGGGAACACAGAAAGCAATACTTCCGCCTTGTTTTCCAGAGTGCTTCTGTGAGGACAAAGTGAGATAATGGATGTGAAGGCCCATTACAATTTTAAAACATTATATAAGTAAAAGATAATCTCCCAACCTTATTTTGAAGAATAAATAAGGAAAAGATTTGAATACAGTAAGAGAATTTGGAAAAGTTTCAGCATGCTTTATTTGTCGGAAAGTTAGCCCCCAAAAATGGTGGGGAAGAGGTGAATTGGAAAATGATTGTTTATGAAAAGAGACGATGGAAAGATTGTTTTGTAACATTTGAAGCAGGCAAGAGAAGGATGGGCACAGTCTCCAGTGTCGGTGATACCTGGCGGGTTTAACTCTCCTTTAAATAGAGGTGGGATAGGTGAAAAGTAGCTCAGTAATAACAGCACCTGGTGAAAGAGACTGTCACATCTAAAATAAGGAGAAAGGGGGAAATTAGAGCAACCGTGGTTACCTATTTTCTAGTCTCTTCCTTCTTCCACGTCTTCCCAATTCTTTCACAAACTGTGGCGAATTGACCGTGTTGCTTTTTAGTTTTAAAATTCAGCCCCTCCCCGAACCCCTCTCATACATAGGGACTGGGGGAGGAGGGATAGATGAGAGGGAAACCAGGACTCAGTCAACACCCCAATGATTGTACACTTGAAGCCCGTTGCCGTAGAACAATATAGCCCCGGAGCCGCTTTATTTGTTTATCAATGAACATCCTACTGCGTCCCCGAGATGTAGGTCAGGCTCCTTGGAAATAGCAGCCGCCGACCACATGCAGTCTTCATTGTATTTCCAGACCGGGTGCGCTGCTGATTCCTGCACACTGGAGTGCGTCGGAGCTGCAGGAAGGAGAGGAGACACCTGTGCCTTTGGGACGCAGGTGAAGTCCCATCTACCTTCCTGAGACTTTCCCTGGTGCTTTCCCACCCCTTTAGCCGCTCGCTCTTCATCCGCATCTCCCCTGACGTCTTGGACCCAAGCTTCTCTGTTCGACGGGTGCTTTTCCCGCTCTGTCCCCGCTCCGCACCTCAGCTGAAGGCGCCGAGGGCTCCACACAACTGGGCATGCCTAATAAACAGGGAAGGCTTGGGCTGCAGGAAGAAAGCGTTTGCACCTTCTGCGCTCCCCTCCCCTCTGCAGCTGCCTCCTGCCAGTCAGGCGATCCGACGTGCGGCCCCGCCCAATGAGGGCCCGCGGCCTTCGCGGAGGCCCCGCCTCTCATGGCAGCATCACCAATGACTGGTTGGCAGAGGTGGGACGCGTCCTGTTCCCGCCCCTTCAGTTAAGGCCGCTGGTGTGAGCCCGGGCTCGGCGCGAGCCGGGGACGACGGCGGGGACGGGCAGGTGTGGGCGCGGGGCCGCGCGGCGGGCCGGCGGGAGTGGCGGGCGCTCGGTGCATGGGCCAGTGAGGGCGCGCGGAGATCCCCCGGCCGCGGCGGAGGCGGAGCGGCGCGGGAGCCAGGCGCTGCCCGCGACCCTGCGTCCGAGCGAGCGGAACCCTGCGCTTCGCCCGGGGACGGTCCGAAGTCCGCGCTATGGAAGAGGAGAAATATTTGCCTGAGCTGATGGCAGAGAAAGATAGCCTGGATCCATCTTTTGTGCATGCATCGCGCCTTTTGGCGGAAGGTAGGACTTGCCCCCACGGATGAGCACAAACGGTCGGCCGCCCGGCTTCCCCGCGGTTGGGTTAGGGGAGTGAAGTTGGGGAGGGATGCCTGTCTCCTCCTTCGCAGAAACTGTCCCCCTGAAGATGCTCGCTTCAGAGCCCGGGCGGACCGTGCTGGGGGCGGGCAGCAATGCTCCTTCTCCTCTACGTCTTAATTTGGGGAAGACCAAAGCTACGAGATCTAATGGCAGTGGTGATGTGACCTGTTAAGATCGTTGATAGCGAAACCATCAAGTCTAACGCGGTCTCCGGGGGATTTTTTCACTTCGCTGAGGGAAGGAGAATCAGTTTGGAAGTAAATGATGATCACTGTAGTGTTCTAAGAGCTTCTTAGCTACAAATCAACATTTATTTATTTATTTATTTTTTGCTGCATTTAGGAAGTGATTTTGATACTCTTTAGTCTCATTACAGTCTCTCTCATGGAAAGTCTTAGAATTAACCTAGATTAAACTATACATGTTCGTCTGTGTGAATGTGGCAGAGGCTAAAGTGCTTATCAATTTATTTGAAGTGTGATGGTTGGGTACTCGGCGAGATACTGGTCCCTGGGAACACTTCACAATTGATCAACTGTTTTTACCAAGTGTGCATTTTCTTTTGTGTACCTGTAATGCTAAAGGAGATTTTATTCCCGGAGGAACATGTATATCTTGTCTTTTGCATTGCTTTGAAAGATGTTTTTAAACACACAAACATGAACTTGTGTATGACAGAAATATTAACCGAATTACTCCCTTTATCTGGAAATAATGCCGTCTAACTGCTAAAGATACGATATCGGTAGTAAGCTACACATGCCGCTTTACGAACAAGTCCAGATCTTTTTTGATGATTGCTTCGTTGATAATGAACTGCTTCATCATCAGACTGACTACAGTGCAGTTTCATAGCTTAGGTTGTTTTGGACTCACCTGGAGCAAAACTCAGAGTGACAACTTCCCCTCCCTCAGCCCTTCAGCAGAAGAGAAATGTTTTTTGAGACTTAGTTGTATGTGGAAGGAAGAATTCTAATCCTCCGTGTATGATACAAATAGGCATTAGGTTTATTTAAATATTTTATTGATAGATTATTATTTATAACAACAATGAAGTGTAAGATTTTTTCATTTTTGCATACTAAATTAGGATAAGATTTGTAGTTAAAATATCGAACTATGAAACAACTGAACTGTTTTTCAAGGAACAAGTTGGTCTTGTAGAGGATTTGGGAAGGTAAAATGCAATTATGCTTGCCACTTCTTGGTTACTGAATGAAAAAACTAGAAATTAAAGTTGAAAAGTAAAGTCAATTAAGAAGATTAAACTCTCCCTCTACTTTATTAAAAAATAAAGATAACTATGTAAAAAATAATAAGAATATTGAAAACTGAGTTAATAAATGATTAAATCTTTCAAAATGATTAAAAATGCAGTTAAGCCTTGTCAAATCACTTACTTCCATATATTTTTCAGGAGTTCTTCATTTAGCTGATGTCTTTAAAATGAAAAAAAAAGTTATAAATTGATCATTTCTCTGACCTGCTAATTGGAGTTCTCTGTGCGACTAGAGGCTCAGTGATTAATTCATCAGTCATTAATGAGAGTTGGTGTACTTTTGAAAGCTGCCAGACTAAAGAAATGTGTGTGAGAAACTCTTCATAGAATCATAAGTGCTTCTGCTGCAGGTACAATGGTCAGAGAAGGCTCTGCTTCTGGTTCCTTAACATTTTATCTTTCCCAGGAACTTGATTTCTTGGGACTCAGGAAATATGTTCTGATGTACCTTGCAATTTAGTTTTTTCCCAGTAGGGGGAAGCATGTCCTGCTTTTGTAAGGAATTAGCAGGAATAAGCTCCTAGATGGAGAGAAAAGCATCTAAGTAAGAAACAAAGAGATGTCCAAATTTCAGAGAAATTATAATCAGGAAAAGAGAATGGAGGAGTTGATGGTGATAATCTTTGAGTGTATAAGGAGAAATGCAGAAAGATGTATAGGGTTTAAATCAATTCTCTAATTGTACCTGAGACTCTTTGTATGTGCTTATTAAAGAGTATAAGGTGAGTGTCCTTTGGCATCTCTAGTAAATCTTAATGTATGTTTTACATTATAGATCTTTCATTATCTTTTCAAGGGCCATTTGCCCAGATTTCCAGGTTTGGTTTCAGGTTGTGTATAGGAGAGTATTGTTGAGATGATTTTATTTCTCATACCTGGAAATGCAGTGATTGAAGGCAGTGGCTATAAATAAACCTGACATAGATATTCATTTGGAAGGAAGGTGCACACTGAAGTACATTTTAGTCAGTACTGGGCAGACAGTCTCAAGACTGAGTGAGTAATAAAAATGATCCAGATGATTCAGTTCTTCGGAATGATTTTCCAGAAGCTAATATATATAAGGGCAGTGATGTAAACCAATGAGCTTTCACAATGATTTATTTTGCTTTTTTGATTGGTGATAGATGCAAATCAGTGCTCAATTGCAACTACTACTTAATTTAGAAATGAAGGCCTGTGGGATTAAAAGTACTAGTTTGTTATTTTGTTGTCATTTGTTTTATTTCACTTGTTTCTGCTCTGTGTTTTCAGTTGGAAGGATTCTAAGAAAGCTAATGGGAGAGCCAAACATTTTATGTGTTTGATTGTTGCTTAGAAAAGATCTTGAATAATATGATTTTAAGTGTTTATAATATATTTTATTAATTAAAATAATTTTTCTCTTGTGATTATAATATTGTTTAATTATCCATTTGTTATGGAAGGTTCTCTTGAATATGATAAAACAGCAAACTCAGTATGATTCTAAAGTTCCACTCAGGCCCTGAACTTGCTTGCCAGATGAAATTAGATGAGGTTATTTATATCTATGCTACTTCTGGGAAGTGCATTAACCTGTGAATCCAAAGACTTGGATTTTTATTCCACTTTTGGCTAAACTGAATCTTGGTAAACTTCCCTTCTCCAGACCCAATTTCCTTGTCTCTCAAATTAAGGAGTTGGACCGGATGATCTATATGTTTCTTAGTAATTCTAATTAAGTCTGGCAGTACTGCTGAGGCAAATGAGTGCTGTTTGCGTATTCAGAACACCAAAATCAATGGTCGAACATTTTTGAAATTTTTCATTCCTTCCTAGTTTAATGATTAATAATGCATTTATTGCACTATAATATAATTTGAGGCATATACATTATTTTGGGCATTGAGCACGGATTTATGTTCTTAAATCTATTGAACTATTATCAAGGCTTGGGGCTAAAAATGTATATACTTGGAAATATTCTTGTTTGCAGTCAAGCATGCCTGTCTGCTGACAGACATAGATCTGTTCAGATTTATAGACTCAATTATGGTGATTCCAGAGGTTTAGGAGGATTAATAAATCTTGTCCATTTAGGAGTGTTTTGGGTCATCTGGTTGGCAAGACATCTTAACCTGAATTCTTCACAAATATTGGTAGATTCACCCTTGTTTTGGTTGACTCATGATGAAGTCAAATATTGCCAAATATCCCAACAGGTTTGGGTTTTTCAAAAACTCTGATGATTTTTTAAAATGGTTTAAAAACTCTAGATGCTATTTTCAAATTTTGTGGAAAGCCTGGCCTTCCGTCCAGGATCGGCCTTCATGTTTGCAGATATAGGTGAGCTTCTAAAACCACGAGAGAAACAGGGATTAGCATTTATCACAAATGCCGGTTTGTAGTCACTTAACTACATTTAAATTCTCGAGAAGGATCATTTTTTAATTTAGATCATGTTCCTTAAAACATTTTTTGTAAATCATGGTGAGTTCTTAAGTTAAGGAAAGATAGTGGTTTAATGTCTAAAACCAGCTTCTGATTAAAAATAGTATTAATGTGACTTTTCCTTTGATTCATGTAGTCTCTTTTTTCTCCTAATAATTTTAGAATAGTATTATTTATGTTTATGAAATAAAAAACAAAAATTGGCTAAAAAACTAAATTCAAGGTATTTTTCACCTGCAATTAAAACACATTTATGACATAGTATGATGTAGTGTAAAAATTCTGCTTTAGTAAACAAAACATTTGGGTTAGAATGTTGACATTTCTGCCTACTCTGAAATAGATGATATGTCATTTATTTCCTCTCTGATTCCCAGTTTCTTCATCTGTAAAACAGAAAAAGTAATGTCTACCAGGCATGGTTCTTTTAAGGTTAAAAAAAATGCTGTTTGTGACAATATAAGCAGTATTTTATACAAATATAAATAGATCCCTAATATAAATCTAACAAAAACGTGAGCAGAAATTATACAAATATAAGATGATGCTTTTAAGATTTTCCTTCACATTTTAATGGCATTGTGAACTTGACCTCAACTTGTTAGAAAATAAGCGCTGCCTTACTCTTTAAATCACTGCTGAGAGAAATTTGAGCTCATAACCCAAATTATGAAATAAATTATCTTATGAAAAATGATTCCAGTGAGGGTTTTTAAAATATCGTGCTCCCTTACTCCACGGTCGGGTGTCGGTGTTTCACCTGGGCTTGGTTAGCGCTGGTGCTGTGTCTTTTAATGGTCATTCCAGACCTCCTCAGGCCTCCTCATAAGCCTACATGTCCTTTGCTCTTGGCAGCTGATTTCATCCTCTGTTTTAGTGGGAGAAATGGATGTGTCTCTTCTGACATTTTTCAACCTCTTGCCACCTAAAAACTTCCAGGCTTCTCCTTATAGTCTTTCGTTCCCAGAAGATGAAATCTTTCCTTTTTCTATGAGGCTGACTTCTCCACTAATATCCTTAACCCTAATGCTCGTCATCTCCTCCAGACTTCTTCTATGGTTTTATCTTTTCCTCAGTATCTCCAACTTCGTCCACCCTTTCCGCTCTTTCCTTGTAGCAGTCTGTAAACATGATCCAATCTGAGTAACTTAAAAAAAATACACTAGTTGTTTTACTTGCCAAAAGTGATAAAAATAATCTCTCTTGCCATTTATCCTCCCTTGTTTCCTTC